CGTGTGTGTGTGTGTGTGTGTGTGTGTGTGTGTGTGTGTGTGTGTGTGTGTGTGTGTGTGTGTGTGTGTGTGTGTGTGTGTGTGTTGGTGTGTGTTGGTTGTGTGTGTTGGGCGGGTGCAATGCTCAGGCAAACACGCCGCCACACGCGCAGGGCGCAACAACACAGGTGATGTGCGGTAGCGGGGGTCAGGGGAGCGAAGCAGGCCAAGCAAGACAGGAGCAGAGAGCTGGCGCTCTGTTTGAGTTTGCGGGTCCTCCAGCGCACGCCACGCCCGGCTGCAGCTTCCGGTGGATAGCCACTTCCTTTGGCAATTTCCACCACCACAGCTGCCGGGGCCTCGACAAGCAACCGTGCACCGAAGCAAATGATGGTGCAACTCCTGTTCACAAGCGAACGGCCTCAAGAGCCACGTCTCCTGCTGGAGAGCCTGCAATTTCCTGGGCCATTAATCTGAGTGTGCACTGGCGCGTTGTCAAGCCTGCATGTCTGCAAATGAGGGCAATTGTTGATCGCACCAGCTTGATCTTCCCAGATTCTCTTCAGACACCGGTTGAACCCAATAGTTCAATAGTTGATACTGCAGGGATTCTCACAATTTGCACCTGACTTTTCCAACGTCTCCACGCAAAAGTGTCGCAGTGCCCATGCAAAGGCAAAACCGCAAGGTCCCGGCAAACCAGCGGACCTCCAAATCCACAACAGAGCTCAATCCTCGATTTAGAGGATCATCGACCTCAAAAGTGCGAAAAGGCTGGAGTGATGGGAAGCCGCTCTTCAATGTTGCTTCCTAAGCAAGTTTAAGGCAGCCACGTGCAGCAAATCTCTGCTAACCTGAACAAGGAAGAAAAGGAGTTTGAGAAAAGAACAGGTATCGATATCGAATCCAATGAGAATCCAATGAGAATCCAATGAGAATCCAATGAGAATCCAATGAGAATCCAATGAGAATCCAATGAGAATCCAATGAGAATCCAATGAGAATCCAATGAGAATCCAATGAATTTGTCCGCCGGCAACACAACGCCTGCGAAGTGTCCAAGTCCAGGCTGCCATGATGCACGCGACGGGCGCCTTCGGCCTGCCGCAGTCTCTGAGTCGAAGGCATAGGCTGCATGTGCCAAAAAGCACGTCTGCAGCCTCGGCCGCCTCTGGCCATCGCCGCATGCGCGCGATCCGGCAAGACACACCTTCGATTCACTTCAGCATGAATGCATGTGTTTTTTCAATGCACAGGTTCGATTCATGTTTGGAGCATGGAGCAAGAGAAGTCGGGCAAGCATGCTCCAAGGTCAGGACGTCCCAGAAACCCTGTGAAGTTGTGGCTGAAAATGCTGCCGCTATCCTCCGCCCGAACCTGCAACACCATCAAACCACGAACAGGCCAAGTCACCTTGCTATCAACACATCAGCAACAAACAATTTGGATCTCTCAAGCTTTGAGCTGTGACTCTACCGCCTGCCTCAACCTCAAGGTGTTGCTCTCGGTGGTGGACGACGAAGTAACTTCCTGGCCTGCAACATGACTGACTGCTGGAACATCTCAGCAACATCCCTGGCATGACTGTGCCAATCCCTTGGGTAGGAAACCCTGGGTAGAACTGAGCCGTCAACTCCTCTGCGGGCCACTGTGGGCAGGTCGTGTCCCTGACAGTGCTTGTTCTCCTCGAGGCATCACCAAGCCTTAGCTAGCGTGACTCAAGGCGAGCCACATTTCACACTCTGAGCTGACCACGACAAAATGCAGTATGGGTGTGAGGTAAAGACTTCTTGCTCGAAGGCATGACCTGAGGTTCTCCTGTCCGAGCCCTTGTCACATTGGAGGCTTGGGGACAAGCAGTTCACCCCAGCTAGATCTCTTGCTCGCACCACCTTGAGATGCAGCAAAACCTTCCATGATGCGGTCATCACATGGGTGCCACATCCTAGCCCTATGCTCTGGGAACCGAGCCCTGGCGTGTAAGACTCCAAGCGGTTGCGGTGCCATTGCCTCGCTGGCCAGACTAAGGCATTGCTGTATCTGTGCCAGCCTGCCTCCATGGGATCTACTTCACCAGAGAGAATGGCCTTCCAAAAGCTGAGTGCTGTGTGTGGCTCGTAGTTCAGCCTACGAACCTTGCAACGAGGTAGGACAAAGAGGCTTTTCAGCCAGTCCATCACAGAGCGTCTGATGGTGTGCTCTATGCCTCCATCAATGAGAATGCTGCAAGCTTCACTTGTCACTGACGTTCACGCCTGGAAAGTGTCCCAAAGCAGCCAATCCCGTAAATTGGAGGTCCACCTGAACATCTGCACAAAGTTTGCACACCAGCATCACAAGAAATCTGCATGGCTTCAATTGGGCTGCATCCCTAACATTGCATGCACCACCCACATTTGCCATGCCT